CCCTCCTCCTCCCCCCTCAGATGCCTCCTGGCGTATCCCCGGCGCCCTCCCGAGGGCCTGTGCATGTGGCCCCTGCTGCTGCAGGTGGGACCTGGCCATGCCCCTCCCTCTCGTGCGCAGACATCCCTTGCCCGGTGCCTGTCCCCTCCCTGGGAGCTCCCTGGTTCTCAGAGAGGCTTCACAGCAGGCACAGCATGACAGGGCTGTCTTCTCCTGAGGGGCAGTATGTGGGAGTGTGCTTTGGCTTCTTCTCCTCCAAAGGGGGTGTGGGAAGTGTCCCACTTGTCTTGGGGCTGCTGGGATCGGGGGGGCCCTGGCTGCAAACACAGAAGCCCGGCACTGCCTGCTTAGGCAGAAGGCAGAGTTGTTGGCTTACTTGCCACCCTGCCAGCTTATGATTCTGCCTGGTGGCTGCACGCCTTCAGGCCAGCTGTCCCTGGAGGCTAGCTGCATGTCTGCAGGAACCTCCCCAGGGCTTATGGTGTCTGTGATTCCCTTCCGATTTTCTATGGACTCTCTGCCTGATTTGTGTGGTCTTCCATCCTTTCTGAAATAGGTGGCGGTATGTTATGGCTGCGCACACGTATCTGGAAAGGAAACGGATTAATAGGGAGCCCTCATGTGAAAGGCGCCAAACCATGCCCTGGAACGCGTGGTTACAAAGTAGACCCGTCCTCACCGGGTGTGTCCTGGCCCTGTCCCTCCTCAGGGATTGGCTGAAGCCCTTTGGGAGTCTGGCTCTCAGGCATAGGGACCCTGCCCTGCCCTCAGCGTGATCACAGACGTGTCCGGCCGGTGCAGAGGCTGCTCAGCCAGGCTGTCAGTCAGTCGCTGGTGGAAGGTAACCCACTGGCCCGGACATGAGAGGGCGTCCACATGCGTTCTGGGTTTGGCTGCCATCCAGCAATGAGGCTTGGGGTGCAGTGCCCCTCAGCGGGCCTCGGGTTCCCACCTACACAGTGAGCAGTTTCAGCCAGCTAAGTGTGCTTGAAAAGGTCCGTGATTGTGCAACTCTGAAGCCACCAGATTCGTTAGTGCCTGCCCGGGAGCATCATCCCGGGAATCAGGAATGGGGGCAAAAGGAAGGGTAGGGGTGGGAGAGGCAATTCCAGAGGGTGAGGTGGGCAGGCCAGCGGTGCCATGGTATGACAGGGAGCAGGTGGCAAGCAGACCCCTGCCCCCATCCCTGCTCATTGTGCATCCGGAAGATGTCTTATCTGTGCACTGCCTTGCTTCACCGAGCAGATGACAGCCCCTGCCTTCATCTGATTGCCGGTGGGGCTAGTGGTGCCAGGCTACCCCTCACAGTCCCAGGTTGGCCCATTTCAGGGGGTGACGCAGTGAGTCCTCCAGTGAGGTTTAGTTTAGCATGCTTACTGGCTTGTTTTGGCACATCCCCATCCCTCTTGCAAGAAAAAAACTAAACAGGTAATTGCCCTGTGTCTTTGGTTCTAGAACTTGGGGTCAAGCAGGGTGAGGAAGATGCCTGGGCAGGAAGGCCACGAGGCCTTAGTCTTTGGTTCTAGAACTTGGGGTCAAGTTGGGATCCCCTCTCTGCAGGGGCGCTACCCATGCCCCCCACCATCTGCCAAGTATGCTGTGGTCACCTGGCCTACCCTGCAGAGGGCCAAATGTGTCTGGCATCACCTTCTTGCCCTCCCCAACCCCCTGCCATTTTTCAGGAGAGAGGGGAGAGCTGGCCCTTGTCCTATCAGGATCCTAGAGGGGTATGCCTCCAAGCAGCCCAAGGCCCTGCCTGCCCTCAGTGAGCGTGTTGCTGACTTGCCATCATGCCTTTCGGCAAGGTGGAATGTCGTCCCCCCCTCCCCCGCCAGTCCCCCAGTGTAGGGCTCATGTGCACACCCAGAGCTCTCAAGGGCGTTCATTTCCCTGTGAGTGGAATTATTTCCCACCTACCCTGGAAATCTCCAGGATGAGGGGACTGGTGGGGAGATGGAAGAGCTAGGCTTCTGCAAACAGGAAGCTGGGCACCTTGCTTGCTCTGCTAGGTTTATGTTTGGCCCCTGGGGACCTGGAGCTGAAACAGACCAGCCCCCATGTAGGATGCATTCCCAGCCACAGGCCTACCCCTGAACCTGAGTGGTCCTGCCAGAGATTTACGAGGGCAGCAAGCCAGGAGGGCTTCAGAGAGATGACATCACGGCCAGGTTTGAGAGGACACAGGAGAGCTGGCTGAGTAGAGGAGGTGAGAGGGCACCTGAGAAAGTAAGAAGCATAAATTTCACGGCTCTGTAAGGGGGGTGGGGTGGGCATGGTGAGTCAAGGGAGGAGGGGTACAGAGGCCAGCGAGGCTCAGGCTGCAGCTGAGGTAGGTGAGGGAGATAGTTGTCAAGGATATAAGAGGAAGGATGCAGTCACATGATCTTTTTCCTAACTTGTCCTTGCCCAGGCTAGGTGGATGGATTAGGGGCAAGAGTGGAAAGAAGAGGCAGGATGAGATCCAAGCTGGGGTGGAAATGTTGGGAGCACAAAGTTCAGGCTTGGGTGTCAGGGAGGGATGGGGTGTGGGAACAATCCTGGGGTCCTTGCACAGCGCAAGAAACCTTTTCTAACAATTTATCGAGGATGAAATGGACCACCTCCGGAGATACTGTGCTCCCCAGATGTGCAGGCCGAGGTTGGTGCCCACTGGTCAGGTTGTGAGGGCCAGGCATCGGGAACCATGTACCCCAGGTGCCTGGAGCCTCTTGAGGCATTGGCACCATATCAGAGGCCCCCATGACCCTTGCCTCCGCCCACCCCACAGCCAGGCTCACCCCGAGTCCCTGGCAGGCCTATCTTCAGACCTCCTCCCCTACCCCTGCCTGTGCCCTGACTCAACTGACGTGGATGGCAGGGGTGACATGGGAGGAACAGGGCCGCTTACCAGGGCAAGGTCCAGAGAAGTCAGCACTCTTCTCCCACAGCCACCCTCAAACACAATTTGGAGGAACAAATGTGAGTCTTCCATTTGTCCTCCCTGATTGCCCCCCGAAGAAAAACAGGAGACCCTCCACCCCCAGGTGCTCATACGACAGCTGAGAGAAACCTTCTGACCCCAGATGCCAGGGAAGAGGGAGGCATTTAGCGGAAATGCAGGGTCATTCTGTACCCTTACGGTTGACAGTGCAGAACAGAGCGCACTCCTCTGTGCCCTAAGGAAGAGTAAGATCTGGGAGCGGTGGGGTCACACCCAGCTCTCCAACTTGGCCTGAGGCCTTGGACCAGCCCGGGCACACGCCTGCGGTGTTTCTGCACATGGTCGGGCTGTGTTTCTGGCTTTCTCCCTCTGCTGTTAGGTGCGGGAAGGAGCCAGAGGCCAGCAGCAGAGGGCTGGAGCAGATGGTGGGGGCTTCCCTCTGGGCTGGTTGGGCTTGTCTTGACTGTCCTCAGAGCTGTGGGCATGGCAAGGGGCCAACTCTGGGGCTGCCCCTCATGCTGTGTTACCCTGAGGGAGTCCCTGCTCATCCCTGAGCTTTGCCCTCCCTGGCATAGCTGTGCGAGCCCGTAGTGAAGAACACGGTGATGTTAGCAGTGCCATGGAAGAGCCAGGCTCTTCTTTAATCTTACACCGCTAAGCCTGCCAGGCAACAGAGATGGCACCTTCTCAGCCACTGCTGTCCATCTGGGGCCAGGGTGTCAGAGCCACGCTGCCCAGACAGTTGCTCAAAGTGGTCTCTTGTCCTCTCAGGTGGCAGCTTTTCCTGAGCTGCTGCAGAAGCCACCTGGGCCCAGTGGGAAGATAAGTGTTGGTATCTGTGCCATGAGTGAGCGTGGCCTCAGCCTCCTGGTTTGGTCCAAGCTGGGAAGCAGCTGGTGCCTTGTTTGGCACTGCCTGGGATGAAGGGTGGTTACCAGCCTTCACACAGGTACCCCCAGCCTGCTCGGGAGGTAGGGGTGTTGTGTCCAGTGTGAGCCCAGTGACCCAGTGTGGAGGCTATGGGGGCTTGGAGCTATGGGTTATGGGTTTTAGGCTCCTCTCTTGCCTAGTGGCTCAGGGCTGGGGGTGCCCTGACTTCCCTCCTGGGACTGCCAGAGCCTGGAGTTAGTCACTGAGCACCCACGGGAATAAGGCCCTGGGAGTGGCACCCCCTGGGAACCCTGCTAGGGGCCCAGATGGAGGAGACAGCATTGCTCATAGCCCTGTTTCATTCTAGGCAGGAATCTCTCTAGGGTGTTGGCTGCAGGGAGCCACTATGAGCCCGCCTGCTTCCAGGCCCCCAGAGTCCTGCCCCAGAGACATAAATCCTAGTCCAGGCCCCACAGCCTTGGGTTTGCTTCTGTTCACCTGTAATTTGCTCCCTTGGTCATCCTTTCCTCCACTATGCCTTGACTGGACCGAGTATGTCTCAGACCCTGTGCTGGGTGTGGAGGTGCTGCAGGGAACCAGACCTAGAGCTGCTGATGAGCAGGATGCCCAGTGCAGCGGTGGGCTGAGCACGGACTGAGGGAGATGGTGGCAGGGCTCCCCAGAGCCAGCCCTGCACCAGCTCAGCCTTCAGACAGTGAGGTTGGTGGCCCAGAGATGGAGGAGGGAGTCCCAGGCGGAGTGCACACCGGACAAAGGCAGGTTGGAGGGAACCTGGGCATCCTGTGAGCTCCCCGTCATTTTCAGCCCAGCCTCCAGTCTCTGGGCATTGTTCTGAGGGAGTGCACGTGGTTGGGGCCAGCACAGCTGCCAGAAGTTCATGGTGGCCACCTCTTGACCTGTCAGTTTCGTTCTAGGAATTGGTCCCATGGCTGAATCAGCACCTATGCAGAGCTGCTGAGGTTCTGGGTTTCCCCCACGGGTTGCATTTGACTAGGCACGACCTGCATGTTTCCTGTAGGCAACGGGTCAAGTGCATACATGCCACACTGCCGTTCAGAAGAAGGGAGTGCAGGACAGCGTGCACGTATCCTTCATCGCCATCTGCAGGGGAAGTCGATTGGGGTGGTCACACTCCCCTTCCCCATGGCACGGCAACCCCCTCACATGCCCTCTTCCGTCCGTCTCACAGGGCATCTGGCGGATCCCCGTGGACGAGATCGACCGGCCGGGCAGCTTCGCCTGGCACATGAACCGCTCTATTGTGCTGCTGCTCAAGGTGCTGGCCCAGCTCCGGGACCACAGCACCCTGCTGAAGGTGTCCTCCATGCTGCAGCGGACCCCGGACCAGGGCAAGTGAGTTCAGCTGTCCAGCCCGGTGTGCGCTTGGCCCTGAGGGCAGCTGGTGCCATCATGGCTCAGGGCGTGAGTGCACCCACCCAGGGCGTCTCTCTGCTGGTTGGGGAGCCTAGACCAGCCCTTCTTTTCAAGGGCTTCTCTGTCCCACTATCTCGATGACACCCTTGCCCTGTGGACCCTGGGGCAAACACGGCCTGTAGACAAGTTACCATTCCTTTCCTTCTGCTTGCCTTTAGCTTGGGGCTTTCAGGGTGCTGTCAGGTTGTGGGGAAAACAGGTGTCCAAATGATACCTGCCCCACTCCCTCCACCCCTACCCCCGCCCAGGTGAAGGCAAGTAATAACAGGCCAGATAACAGGTAACCAGGGATCCCTCTGCCAGACAGGGGAAGGGGTAGGCTTGAGGGACATCTGCTGCAGCCACCGCTTGTAGGGGTTGTGGGGGATCCTGGGAGACATGGTCTGGCCCATGTGGGCCGACCGCTGTCCTCTGCCCCTGCCCTGCTTTCCCTTCTCTCGTCTCATTCACCTGTAGGAGCAGGGGTGGGGCCTTCAGCCGGGGTCTGGGGTGCACTGAAGACAGGCTTTATAGAGGGAAGCCAGAGGCCCCCAGCTCTCGCTTGGCCCAGCCCTGCCTACCCTGCTCCCAGGGCTCCCGGCCAGATCCGGAGGACCCAGGACAGTCTATGCTGGGGTGCCAAGGTAGGGGGGTCAGAGAAGGCTTCCAGAAAGTGGACCCAGGCAGGAGGGAGGCCAGGGGACCAGCAGGTGTTCTCAGGGCGGGGAGGAGTGTGGTCCACCAGCCAGTGCCGTGTGGCTCTGAGGCTCTGCTATCTTCTCCGGCCACCCCTGTGTGTCTGCAGGAAGTATCTGCGAGATGCTGACCGCCAGGTCCTGGCACAGCGGGCCTTCATCCTCACTGTGAAGGTGCTGGAGGACACTCTGAGTGAGCTTGCAGAGGTATGCCACGGCTACTGTCCTCTCCCAGGCAGTCACCCTGGCCCTTCACTTAACTGCCATGAGGCAGGTCCCAGTGTTCCCAGCTGTGAAGGAGCACATTCCTGCCTCCCCGGTGGAGAAGGTCAGCACAGTAAGGAGGTGGCCAGACAGTGAGGTGCTGGCCTATCTGGGACTTATGGTCAGGGAGGGACAGTAGCAAGCCTCACTGAGGCTGCTACCTGAGCAGTATACCCCCACCTGGCAGGTCGAACCCAGGGTTGCAGCAGCCCTGATACTGAAGCACATGGTGGGCTTCTGGTGGACTGTGCGGAACCATGGATTGCATCGGGCACACCTAGTCCCCTTTCACCCTCTGAGGCAGGCACAGTCCTTGCTTCCTTTCATACCTAAGCACCTGAGGCCTACGAGGTTAGGTCACCACCCTAGCGGGAAGGGCCATAGGGACCTGAGCCAGGGCAGTGCTGCTGCATGCCCTTTGCCCAGTAGGACTAGCTGGGCCATGGTGCAGGGGCTCAGGGTAGCGCCCCCTGAGACTCCACCCAGGCTGCTGTGCATAAGGGGCACATCAGAGCCCAGAATAGCATTCAGCTCTGTAGCAAGCATGTATGGTGGCCCCTGGCAGGTTACCTCCCTGTAAGATGCCCAGGACTGCCTTAGTGCCCTCATTCAGAGGAAGGCCATCAGAGTACCAGCCAGGCCTATTCTGGAGCAGCACTGCCTCCAGTGCCCCATCAGTCCCTTTCCAGGCCGGAGGAGCAGAAAGGGAGAGACTTCCTCAGGCAAGTCTCCAGGCCCAGCCTGGGGCAACTGGCTGATGGGCAGACCAGAGTGGCCTGAGATGGGGACCCCTGGCACCCAGGCATGCTTTGCTATAGTGGAAGCACAAAGACACAGTCTTTTACCTTCGGTTTTCTTGTAGGGGTCAGAACGCCCAGGGCCCAAGGCCTGTGGCCTCCCTGGAGCCAGGATGACCACTGACGTTCCCCACAAGGCCAGTCCCGAGGATAGTCAAGAGGGCCTTCCCCACTCCAAGAAGCCTCCTCTGGCTGATGGCTCAGGGCCAGGGGCCGAGCCAGGGGGCAAAGTGGGCCCTCTCAACCACCGGCCTGTGGCCATGGAAGCAGGAGACAGCACAGACCAGGCCGGAGAGAGGAAGGACAAGGACAGCCCCCGGGCAGGGCCTACTGAGCCCATGGACACAGGTGAGGCCACTGCTCGCTGCTCAGACTCCGAACGGGCACCACCACCACAGCCAAGCCGTCCCCCAAGGGACCGAGGCCCTGAGAGCCGTCCCACTGAGCTGTCCCTGGAGGAGCTGAGCATCAGTGCCCGGCAGCAACCCAGCCCACTCACACCAGCCCAGCCAGCCCTGGCCACCGCTCCTACCACCACCACTGGGGCCAGAGGGGGTGGCCACCCTGAGGAGCTACCCACACGGCCTAGCCGAAAGAGGAAGCTCCTGGAGGACACAGAGTCGGGCAAGACACTCCTGCTGGATGCCTACCGTGTGTGGCAGCAGGGCCAGAAGGGTGTGGCCTACGACCTGGGACGCATCGAGAGGATCATGTCCGAGACCTACATGCTCATCAAACAGGTGGGTGGCTGCAGGGCAGGCCTGGCGGGTCTCTTCTCATGGAAGGTCCTTCTCAGTCTGTCCAGGGGTGCTAGGGCCCTTGGGGGATGCTTGTTAGGTGTCTTTCCCACCCCAGCCCTGCAGTTGGCTTTCCTACATTTGAGGTTTTCAACCACGAGCATGTCCAGTCATCATGTTGCATGCTTTAAGTATGGAGTGATTTTGTCAACTGTATCTCAAGAAAGTTTGGGAAAATACACAAAAAAAGAAAACAAAAAGAAATAGTGAGCTTGGAAAACTCTGTTTTCAACTTTAAAGGAAATGAAACCATTTGCAGAAATCTTATCAAGTCCAACACAGGGAGACGGAAGGACCCTTGGCCCACTCCAGTGCTCTGGGCACACACGTCCTGAGAGACTGTTGTGCTGTCATCTGGAGGTGGCCGTGGTGCCCTGGGACGTGAGGAGGCTCTGCACTCTTCTTATTTATTTTTTTAAAATACATTAGATGTGTAGCTATTTTTCTATTTAAAATGATTTCTGGGGCCCCTGGGATGAGTCTGAGTCCAGCTCCCTGCTGAGCAGGGAGCCCGCTTCTCCCTCTTCCTCTGCTCTCCCACTGCTTGTGCTCTGTCTCCCTCTTTCAAATAAATAACATCTTTTCTTATAAAGAAAAAGAAAATGAATCCCACACGAAGTACCCCCAAAACTGCAGCGGCTGGCTCTAACAAGGTGCCCATCCTGATAAGCTGTTTCTACCCAAATTGTGTCTGTTTGTGGTACCACTTCTAAGAGTGGCCGTTTTTTCACCCCCTCACCAGCATCCAGGATTAATTTAACTCTTCTTTGTTTTCCTTGTTGACCAATTAGGAAGAACCCGGCCTGCATTCCCTGCTGGTGGAGGTGAACCCTCCCCACCCCTCCACCACCCACCCCACCCCCCGCACCTGCCCCCGACTGGCTGCTCTTGCCGCCCGGGCCCGGCCTGCCTCCCTCACGCCCTGCCCGCTGCTCAACAAGGGCACCCCAATGCCTCCCTGGCCTTGCTGCCGTCCCGCTGCGCCTTGGGCTCTTGGCCTCTGGGTCTGTCAGACCTTCTCCTGCCCCAAACCCCAGACTCTGAAAGGTCCACCATCCCACTCGCTTGAGGGGCAGGGTCTGGCTCCGACCACCAGCCTCAGCCCCTGAGGACAGAGTAACATGGTCCTAGACGTGGCGTTGATCGGACCAGCCTGGTGCAGAGCACAGCCACGTGCCCGTGCCTCCCAGGCAGCGCGGGAGGGGTCCTCGTGCTCCAGTGCTGGGAGGAGGCCAGGCGCCATGGCCTGGGCCCTTTGACTGAGCATCTCCTTGCTCAGGTGGACGAGGAGGCTGTGCTGGAGCAGGCCGTCAAGTTCTGTCAGGGCCACCTCGGGGGCGCTGCCCAGAGACAGGTAAGCAGGACACAGCGCGCCAGCCTCATTGTATGGGGCCCGCCCCCGCTAAGGCCCTGGCTACACGCTAAGACGTGAGTACACCCCAGGGCAGGCTGTCTGGGGTCAGCGTGGGCCGGGGGAGGTGCACAGGAGGCAGCTGAGCCTAGGCCCCCAGGAAGCCCCCTGTCCCCGCTGGGGAAGCCCTTCATGGTGGGGGGGACCCTGGTGGGCCCAGCCCCTGGCTCAGTGTGCGCAGCCTGGGGGGCCCTCATCTCAGCTACCCTTTCTGCAAATGGGAATGTCCTTACCTAGCTGACCTCCCCCAGGAAGGTTACTTCATTCGGAACAAAGGTGGAGGAAGTGATGTGGGGCTGGGATATGAGTGGGATAGGAGCAGAGCGGAGGGGGCAGGGGGTTTATTCAGCAAGGGAGGGAGCAAGACGGCCCCAGGCTTGGGAAAGATTCCTAGCTGTTGAGTGGAGAGCGTGGGCTGGTGCAGGGGCCCAGTGAGCGAGGTAGGTCTGAGATGTCAGAAGGGCGGCCAGCGGGCCTTGGTGACAGGGAGAAGGGATGAGGCCCTCCCAGGCTCTGGCCATCAGATCCTCCTCTAAGGAAGAGGTCTGGGTTGGAGCCCTGGCTGTAGATACCCCTGAAGCCATCGGTTTGGGGCTCAGAGGCCACAGCTTCTGAGGAGTAGTGGGACCAAATGGGTGGGGGAAGGGTTGAGGGAGAGGGGTCCTCCTGGGAGAGGCCCAGCTCAAGAGGAGGCCCATAGGCAGGGTCTGGCCAGCAGGGAAAGGGGGCACCCGGTCTTGAGCCAGGAGGGTGGCAATGCAGTGTCCTTGTTCAGTGTCAATGGGGCATTTCTGCAGGAGTGACCCCTGGGCCTGGGTCGTTGGGTCAAAGGACAGATATTTGCCATTTGAATAGATGTGGCCTCTCGTCCTTCCAAGGGTGGCCCAACTGCCCCTTCCCCAGCAACACAAGTGAGCAGGCCTTGGCCTCCCATCCTCGCCCACACACAGCCATCTCCAGCATTCCCCCTTGGGGAGTACCTCACAGGGAGTCCTGAGGCAGGAGTCCTGAGGAGGACACGACAGTAGGTGTCCACCTGCAGCCTGGGGACTCGAGTCCCCGGTCCCCTAGCAGCAGCCTGAGAGGAAGCCTGGATGCTGAGGGTCTGAAGACATCCAGTTCAATCATGAGCAGGCTGTGGGCACACCTGTGGGCCTGATCCCCCAGGTGAGGGCCAGAATCCCAGGGGAGACGTGCCCCAGGCCACCAGGATTCCTCATCACTCCATTATTGCCAGAGGAGCTGGAGTTCACGGTGCAGCCACTGTGGTTCCTGTGGCCTGTGTGGCCCTCGCCACAGCCCCTGCTACGTGGGGCAGGAGTAACCACGCAGGGCCCCAGGGCAGGGTTTGGCCCCAGGGGTCCCCTCTTGCCTCCTCTGCTGACGGAGAAGGGGGCAGGTGGGCAGTGACCGCTCCAGACAGAGGGCTGTTTCTGATGCAGCTTTTAAAAGGTGTTTAAAGTGATAGAACCACACTGGACAGGAAACACCCCAACACCTACTTTCCCTGTCCTGTGGCAAAAGGAGGTGTTAAGCTGGCAGGAGCCAAGGGCAGGGAAGGGTCTCATTTCTTAGATGAGAAGATTGAGGCCCAAAGAGGACCAGCACCCGGCTGGGGCCTGGCCCACCTCTGGCCAGGTCGGGGAGGGGGCGGCCATGGGCCCACTTCCCCCGCCCCTCAGGGAGGCTCTGTTTTGCTGGTAGCCTGTCCCAGTTGCCATGGCAGCCCAGCACACACCTGGAGAACGCTCTGGACATAATTGGAGGCTCGTGCTATCACCGTGGCTGAGGCTGACTCCTGGCAGCCCATGCTTATCCCACGGCAGAGTCTCGGGGGCTCTCCTGGACCCCATGAATCTGGGGACAGGACATTCAAGCAGAACAGGTACCAGAAGAAGCAAAGCTCCAGCGAGGAGCCAGCTGCTCCCCAGCACCGAGGTGCCCCCTGCAGGTGTGAGATCACCCTGCACTTGGAGCCACCAGGAGGGCTTCCACTGTCCCCGACGGGGGCCGGTTCGGATAGGACCGTGGGCCCTGGGCTAGGGGTCTGAGGGCTGGGGCATGGCTTTCATACAGGGGCCCACCTTGCCCATGCCCTCAGTGAGCAGCAGCCTTCACACCATCCCGGGAGCATGGGCTTTGGGTGCAAAACAGAAGGGGCTTGGTGGCAGAGGGGACTGTGTGGAGGAAGACGAGGAGGCCCCAGTGGACCTGGCTTGCCTAAGAATGGAAGGCTTGTGGCGAGAACTGCAGACACGGCTGCAAGCCAGGCTGTCCAACACCATGGCTTTGGGGCTACAGTTTTGAACTCAGGGAGCTGACTCTTGGTGTCACCCCAAGAGTCTTGAGATGGTCCCACTGGTGGCCCTTGGGAAATTGCCCTCCGGGCCAACTTTGTGTTACTACAGTCCCCACGTCAGGCACAACGACCCCCTGCCCAGCGTCATGCTCCTGTCAGGGTGGCATCCAGGAGTGGGAACATGAGGTCTGTTAGCCCCAGTCCCTCTGCTGAGTCCCTATCAGCAGGGCCTGGACATCCTCCCAGGGAGGGGCTGTGGGTCCCCAGCAGCTTTCTAGCATTGCAGAGTCCTGAAGGGTTGCCCTGGGGGCTCTCTGGCAGCATGGGGGACTCAGGGTTTGGCGCCATGAGGGCATGTTGGCAGGCCCAGGCCCAGGCAGGTGTCCTGTGGGATGGTGAGGGCCCTGGGCTGCCGAGCTAGCCTTCTTCACCTCCCTTTGTCCTCACAGGCTGCAGGGGACACACCCACCACCCCAAAACACCCCAAGGACAACCGGGAGAACTTCTTCCCAGGGACTGTGGCCCCCACAGCTCCTGACCCTGCACCGGCTGACACTCTCCAGCGGCCCAGTGACACTCACACCAAGCCTCGCCCTGCACCGGCGGCCTCCTCGGCTATCATCCCCTGCCCTCCTTCAGCGTCGGCTTCCACACCAGACCTGTCCAAGGACCCTGGGCCCCCCCGGCCACACAGGCCGGAGGCCACCCCCAGCATTGTCTCTCTGGGCCCAGGTAAGTCCCATCCCATCCACTAGGCAGTGAGGCCTGAGCTGGGCCCAGGCCCCTGCCACCAGCGGAAGCAAGTCCTGCTCCTTGCACGGAGAGTGAGGGCAGGGTGGGGTGAGGCCAGGGTGACCTCTAGCCTGGTGGTCCTTGAGAAGCCCATCCTGGGGGCCCTGGAGGGCAGGGGGCACAACCTGCTGGCATGTCCACCACTCTCTTAACCTTCCTCTCATCCAGAAATGAAAGTGGTGACAGCAGTCAGGGGTGTTGTGAGGAGGGAGGGAGCCAGTGCTGACATCAGGTGTTTACGTGCTTATGCGTGTTGCTTTCTCTTACGGCAAGTCTTATGATGAATAGATAAATAGGGATTCTGAAGAGAGGCCATCCTGACTTTGGCTTGCTGGAGACCTCACAGGCCTCTGAGCCATCCCTGGACACCTGCTGTGGTTGGGGGCATTCCTGCACAGTGCCCCCCACCCCTCGTGGGCCAGCCAGCATGGGCAGGGCAAGGCTGGTCAGTGGGCTTGTGACGGAACAAGGATAGGGCCCTGGGCTCCTTCAGCCAGAGGGAGCCCTGGTTCCTTCTAAATCCCCAGATGCCCTTAGGAACGGCAGCCCACAGGCTGGCAGGCTGGGGCAGCCGGCAGACCAGGAGGGCAGACAGGCCTGCAGCTTTCCGGGGACAGGGCACTGACCCTGCCTGCCCTGCCCTGTTGCGGGGACCAGCCTGCGCCCCTGCGGAGACCCCACACTGGCCCTTTGCCTCTGCAGGCATGTCTGTGCCTGGTCACAGTCCCATGCAGCCTTTTGGCCATGCAGCCTTGACTGTGTCCTTTCCTGACACATCTGAATGTCAGACCTCAGAGCAGCAGTGGCTGTGAGCAGGGTGCTGCTCTGCACGCTGCCAGTCTGCCCAAGGGGAGGCCAAGAGTGGCAGTGCTCCCTCTCTCTGCTCTTTCCTACAGCGCAGGCATCAGGCGCTGAGATTCTCACCTGATGCCAGTCCCCAGTTTGTGTTGAGGATCGTGGAAGTCTAGGGACCCTCTGCCCCACTGGGTACAATTATACCAGTCATGGCCCCACGACATGAAGAATCACTTCCCTTAAGTCTGCTCCTGCAGCCATTTGTTCTGAGGGGAGCCCTGAAGGTTGCAGGACAAAAAGCAGCCCAAGAGCTAGAAGTGGTAGTTCTACCACCAGGTGACCTCGGCCACCCCTGCTTCCCTGTGTCTGCATTTCCAGCACACAGCGTGAAAGATGGAGGTCATGCAGATTCAGCACAGTGCTTGGCAGATGGCGAGCACAGCCGTGGCACGGATCCTGGCAGTGGGGATCTCGGGGGGCAGGGGCAATGGGAGTCCACGGCCCAGGGAAATCGCTCACTCCCACGAAGACCTGGCTCCCCCAGGATCACCCCCTCTCACTGTAGGCTGTCTTGGCCTCCACCTGACTCTCGCCCCCTGATCTCGTAGTCCCTGGGGAGCAGGAATTCAGGAGTGTGTCAGGCTGTCATCTGGTCATCTGAATTCACTCAGGTTGCCGGCAGGTCTCGGGTTCTCCTGGGTTGTTGGCTAGGACAGGTCCTCTGCCGTGGACCTCTCCATAGGCTGCTGAGGGTCCCCACGCTGTGGCTGCTGGCTTTCCTCAGGGCCCAGGGTCTGAGAGAGAGCACTGGAAGGAAGCTGCACTGTCCTTTATAACCCGATTTTGGGAGTGAGTGACCATCATTGGCGTTGGCCACGCACGATGGGTACAGGGCGGGAAGTTTCCTCAGGGTGTGAGTGCCAGGAGGCGGGGCCCGCAGGCCACCTGAAGCCTGGCTGCCTTCCTGGCCCCTCCTGCTCACCACGCCCCAGCGCCAAACAGGCCCCAAACTGTGATTTGCGCTTTTTCCCCCTCCGTTAGATCAGTGGAAGATCGTGTACTTCCCAGTGTTACTTTGTCTTGGAGAATTGATCCTTTCTTATTTCCTTCCCCTAAACTAAACTGAATAGCCTTTTGCTAGGATGGAACGCTTACATGACATTGGGGTTGGGGGGTGGCCCTGGGTCGAGAATACGGGATACATAGACCCGACGCTGATGGGCCAGGAACACAGCACACTCACTGACCAGCCTCCCACACCACACGCAGAGTGACCTGCCGGCCTCTTGGTACTGCCTCAGGATCTGCAAGCGGACGATGTTCGGCTGGCTGCCCTGATGGTCCCCAGAGACCACCTCCCACAGCCTCCAGAACAGGGAGAGCCTGGAAGGGACTGCACAGCACGTTCTGGTTCCCCAGATGTGACAGGGTGGCCTGGTGGTAGGATCTGCATCTGCCTGCCCTGGGCCCAGGGTAGGCCTGCCCTGCAGAGGTGCCCAGGAGCTAGAGGGTGTACAGGCTGGGAGCTTCTGCCAGAGACAGCACCATAGGTTGCAAGCTACCTGGGAGAACAGACTGGGGACAGATCCTCCTAGGACACCATCCCCAAGGTGTGAAGACAGGGGGAAGGCAGCCTCAGGAGACCTTGACTGGTGTCCCCGAAATGGACAGCCCTGTTGTGCTCCTCCCCGGGGTGCCCCTCACACAGGCCTTCCGGCTCCAGCTGACAGAGTCCACTCCCAACTTATCCCACCTCCTGTGGCCCACAGATGGGCAGGAACACTCTCAAGCTTCCCTGGTCACTAGCTAGGACCTCACCTGTCCACCCAGGTCATGCTGACCAGGGCTGCTGGCCTCATGTGGTGGTTGCATCCCCTTGGGGAGCTCAGGGTCACTTTTGGGCATCAGCAGGGCTCCTAACCACATGTCCCCAATCCCCACCTCTGTTGGGTGTCTGTCCACCAAAGGCCAGGACCTGGTTTCATGCTAGAATAGTGCCGGGCCCATGAATAAGTCAGAGTAGGGAAGTAGATCAGGGAGGAAGAGTGGAAAGGACACTCCAGGCCATGGGGCCAGCCTGGTAAGGAAAGTGCCTGCCTGAGCAAGGCACTGCCGGCCAGGGAGTCGGGCAGGCTGTAATGCCGGCCTCATGCCATTTTGAGAAGCCAGGAAGAGTCTGAGTCAGGTCTGGCACTTCCAGGACACTGGTCCTTGGGGACCTGGTGCCCAGGCCGTGAGTCTGCCCCAGGGAGGAGGGAGAGTGGCCCAATGGCACAGGATTCCAGCCTAGCCGGGTATTTCCCACTGACAGAGAACCTGAGGCCTGGGGGGCCATGGGGTCCATATGGCCCTTCTTTAAAGGCTGGGCCTCCCGGTTGATCCCTCCCCCCTCAGGTCCACCTGCAACCCGCCTCACAGGCCCCAGGTGCCCCAGAGAGGAGGGGGCTGCTGGCCTAGGGAGCACTACTGCACATGCTTGGTGCTCTCTGCTAGATGCCCTTGCCCCAAGTGTCCCTTCTCCTCCTGGTGGCCTACCAATAGGAAGGGGCCTGCAAAGGGTGGACAGTCCCCTGGGGCAGGAGAGAGCCAGCCTGACACCTGGCCCCTCTGAGTGCAGCCTCCATCCATCCTGCCAGCCCCAGGCCCTCCCTGCACCCTGTTCTCCCCACACTCCATCATGCTCCTATCCTATAGATACCTGTCAGCCAGGAAGCCAGCTGCCCTCCCAGGGCACCCAGGCCTCAGGGAACAGCTGCACGAGGTTGGGCACAGGCCGGCAGAGCATGACCACCTATAGAAAGGCCTGGAAACAGATACCCCCTGGTCCTACTTGCTGACTATGTGCCCAGCCACGGTGAACCGAGTCCTGCCCCAGTGGCACGGGACTCCAGCTGTGATCCCTGCTCCTCGGGTCCAGTAGGGCAGCAGGAGGAGTCTTCCAAGGTGCTGACCCTGCCTGGTCATAGTGTAGGGTGCTGGACCCTGGGACAAAGAGACTGTGACTATGGCTGCCAAGCAGTGGGTCCTGAGGAAGGGAGGGACTGGCTCGTGGCGTGGGCAGCCAGGGAAGGCTCTGTCCTCCAGGAGCGGAGAGCCAACAGGCAGGAGGCCAGGCTACTAAGTCACCCCATCTTTGTCCCTGTCCCAGGAGCTCTCCTGCCTGGCCTGGGGGGTGGGGAGGGAGGCTTCACCTGCTGGAGAAGTGGGGGAGTGGAAGGCGATGGCCACCTCGGCCTCAATGAGAAGAGAGGAGGAAGGTGAAGAAGGAACATGAGGAGGCCTGGATGCAGCAGGAGCTGAGGGGTGGCTGCAGGTGGGGCCCGGGGGGCTGGGAGCCCGTGGACCGATGCTGACTAACCGCCTGGCTGGCGGCCACAGACGCAGCGGGCACCCTTCGGGCCCATCAGGCCTTGGCTCAAAGGAGGCCAATTCCCGGCTCCTGCCTCATGCCAGGGAAGGTGTGGCCTGGCAGGAGGCACAGTGCCAGCACACCACTCCATCTACTCTGGTCTTAGCTAAGCTGGTTTGGTTCTGGGTCCTGACCATGTTTCTGAGTGCCACTCCCACGGGCTAGAGGGGAGAACCTGCGAGCCCACCTCCAAAGTCCCGCGATGGTGTTTGATGGGGCTGGGGGCCCCACAGTCTCCGTGTGCCCCTGCTGTGTCAGGCACACTGGGATCTCCGGTAGTGAGCTGCCCCACTAGTGTCCACCTAGGGGGTGAGTGGTTTCCTGCCAGTACCAGCCGGGCCCCACCCATGCGACTGTTCTCGAGAAGCCCCCTGGCCCGCCGGTGGAGGTGGCAGGCTGCCTCGGTGCAGGTCCCCTACCAGGTGTCCCAGGGCTCAGGAAGGAAGGGCCCTGTCTTCCAGGCTGTATGAGGATTGTAACTTGCAGCCCTCCTGTGTCCCCACAGAGGGAGAAGAGCTGGCAGGAGGGGCGGAGGGCATGGGCTTCCCGCCCCAGGAGCCCCTGCACAGTGAGCAGGTGAAGACTGTCCCCGAGAGCCCTTCAGCAGAGCCGCACTGCTGGCCCACAGAGCCCGCGCCCCGGACAGGCGCCGAGCCCACCTGCAGCCAGGGTAAGGCGGGTTGGGAGTAGCCATGGGGGCTTCGCCTGGAAGGGGGGGCGGGGAGGGCACAGGGGGAACAGCTGGCGGAGCGGGGCCTAGGGAGCACCCAGGGGTGGTGAAGCAGAGGGGAGCGGCCTGGGCTGGAGAGAGGGGTGGAGAGCCCCTCACTCTACCTCCAGCTCCACAGAGACCAGCCAGGGCAGGCAGCCAGCCCAGCTTAGTCCGGGAAAGGAGCCCCCCAAAGTCCGGGCCAAGGGAGGGGCTGCCGTGTGGAGGGAGGAGTCGGGGCAGGCAGCAGGCGGGCCAGTCCGGCCAGGCCGCTGCCTGTGTCGCAGTCACCCGTGTGGGTAGAGCCACTTCCCAACTAGCCAGCCCCCTCGGGGATTCCTCAGGTTCAAGGGTCTCACCCTATTCGGGACTGGAGGGCCTGGTGCCAGCCACATGGAGCCAGGCAGGGCCCCGAGTAAGCCCTGTTCCTTTTAAAGCCGTGGGGACCTCGGAGGAATGTGGAGACCAGCCAGGCCGACCCCGTGGTTCCTAACTCTCAGCTTCCTGGAGGCCGCCAGCCCCGGAACTGCTGCCCCTGCAGCCCTGCAGTGGGAGGGGAAAGCGGATACCCCGGGGCTGAGTGACTGGCTGTGGCCCCCCACGTCCTCCCTACGGTGTGGACACCCGCAGGACATGCGTCCTAGGGCTGTTGCAGGGACGCAGCAGTTCATGTGTGCGCAGTGCCTGGAGGGCCTTGCAGAACCCTGGGGAAGCTCCAGGGTTTGCCTGTTGGCCCTGGGCTCCCACAGTGTACCGGGCTCCTCAGGGCGTCCCAGTCCCCTCGGGGGGTCCTAGTCCCCAAGCCCCACAGCCCAGAGCCGGACCTGGGCAGGCAGGGAGGCAGACGCAGCCGGAGGCCTGGAGCCTGCCAGCCAGCACACACCAGAAGGCCAAGAGAAAGCATCCTGGGTCTGATGCAGCAGGAGGCGGCGTCCTCGGTTGCCTCTGTCTTCCAGAGGGGAAACTGAGGCCCAAACCAGGGAAGGGCAGGCAGGCCCAGGAGGCCGTGAACAAGGCTCAGTTCCCGCGGTCCACTCCACAGTCACCAGCTCTAAGGTGCCCAGCAGTGCGAGTGCCCAGCCAGCCGAGGCCCCCCCCGGCAAGGCCAAGTCGCGCCTCCTGCCCAGCATGCCAAAGCTGGTCATCCCCTCGGCCGCCACTAAGTTCCCCCCTGAGATCACCGTCACGCCGCCCACCCCAACCCTGCTCTCACCCAAAGGCAGCATCTCGGAGGAGACCAAGCAGAAGCTGAAGGTGACCAAGGGTGCCGAGTGGGTGGCATGGGTGGGACATGGGCTCTAGGGGGCCCTGGGCCAGGCCGGGGCCGCCCTGACCTGTGCCCTGCCCGCTGTGTGTGTAGTCAGCCATCCTGTCCGCCCAGTCGGCCGCCACCGTGAGGAAGGAGAGCCTGTGCCAGCCGGCCCTAGAGGTCCTGGAGACCTCAAGCCAGGAGTCCTCCCTGGAGAGCGAGACGGACGAGGAGGACGACTACATGGACATCTGAAGCGTGGCGCTGCCCCCAGGGTCGCCAGGCCCACGCGGAGCACTGCCCCCCCACGCAGAGCCCGGTCTGCCCAGCCGCCACCCCTCGTGGTGCCCGCCCCCCCCCACCTGGGCCATCACCCTTCTCCCCGCATGGGGGGCCCGGAGGGGGCCGCGCTTGGCCACGGGGAGATGTGCAGCTCGTGCAGCAGGGCTGGCGTCCTTTTCTATGAAATGTTGACTTTGTATAAATGTCCACACGCCCAGCCCAGGTGGCCGTGTCCGCACCTGGACTCCCGGATGAGCCGGGCTCTCTGCCTGTGTCACAGTGGAGGGGTCGTTTTGGGGTTGGGCTTGCCCCACTCCCGTTTTTTGGTTTCTTTTCTAATAAAGATGGAACAGTTGTTTTTGCCTCTGTTCACCTGAACCCAGGGCCCTCCGTCAGCTGGTTGCTGTCCCGGGTTTCTGGGCCCTTCTTCCTGTTGGTCAGAGGCCAGCCCTTGGGGATCCCAGGAGCAGGTGGGGGGTTGGGGTGGGGGCAGGGGAGCCAGTGGGGAGACGCGAGCACAGGCCAAGCAGGGCAGACCCTTTTGGTGGGGCTGGAGCCAGGCCTAGAAGGGGTCTCCAGTGTCCCATCAAGGACTCAAGTGCCTGGGGGTGTGCCCCTCGGGATGGGCAGCGGCGGGGGGAGGAGGCTGCAGGGCCAGGCAGGGGCCAGGCCTTGCAAGGGCTCTCTCGTGATGGGGACTGGCACAGGGGACCCTGGGGGAGCAGGGGCAGTGTCAGGAAGGGGGTGCTGGCAGGAACGATCCTGCCTCCCACCACACTTGCCCTCTGATAGAACTGTCCATATAAGTTGTGGAGCTCAGTGCAACGTGTAATTGGGGCTCTTGGTTCCCAGCCCACGATGCCGGCTCCATTCTCTCGGGCTCCAGGTACATCTGTTTGGGGGGGCATAGGTTGCAGGGGCCCCAGCCTGCCCTGCACAACCCCCTCCGTGCCTCGGGGACCCAGCTGTGTCCCCCCCCCCACAAATGTGGGCTGGCCCTGCCCTCAGGGGCCTCCCTGGAAGGGCTCTCTGTCCGATATGGACGTGGGGCTGCTCCCGCCGCCCTGTGCCCCTCATGGGCTGGGCGCTGCCAGGGTCCCCAGCCCAAGGCTGGTAGAGCCGTTATGGGGACCCAGGAGCACGGCAGCCTTGGAAGGATCCTCGCCCCAACGGCCCTAATTTAGGCTCTTTGCCAGGCAGGGGCAACGGTTACTCAGTTGACGGCCCCTCCCCAAATTCCTAGCTTCTCCTCAGACCGGGGTGCCCAGAAAGAGGAAGTTCTGGGAACAACCCAGTCGTCTTCCAGGGCTTCCGGGCTTTCGGGCACCCAGACCTGGGACCCATCCCCGGAGCATCTCCGTCCTCCTGCTTCCCTCACCTGTGCCGCACGGAGCACCTTTGGTCCTGGGCCTGGGATAGTCCCGACGACGAGTCCCCAGCCCCTGCCCCCAGAGGTGATCTGAGCGCCCGGCAGCCAAGCTGGGAGAGGTGGCTTCTAACTACCCCAGCTGGCTTTCCTGGCACCTGCGGACAGGAAGGGGGATGCTGAGAACGAGTGGGCCAGACCCCGGGAGCCCACATGCGTCACAGCCAAATGACCTAAGCGCATAGCCCCCACCGGTGTCAGCTCCCTTCGAGGTCTGGGGATGTGTCCCCTTTGGACATCTTGAGGAGCTGTCTCTGGGGAGAGAACCACCCGTCTGTCTGGACACCCAGCCCAGGTGGCGGGGCGCCGTGAGGCCCAGGCCTCGAGTGGAGCGGTGGGGGTGTCCGAGAAGCCGCCTGGGGCCTGGCACGGCACTGCAGCCTCCCGGTGACCTTGAGCCCACCTGTCTGCCCCGACCCCTGTTTCCTCCCCAGCGCAGTGGGAAGGCTGCATACTGAGGAGGTCACGCAAATTCTGTGAATGTCAGCCGGGGTGGGTGGGGCTGGGGGGCTCCTCTGCAGCTCCCGTCCAGGCTGGGCGGAGGCACCTCTGGAGCCCAGTTTCATAAGCACCACTCCGGGAATTCCGGACCCGGGGGCTCTGGTCTCAGCCCCTCACCCCCGTGAACCTGCCCTGGCTGAGCCCCTCCCACAGCCTTCACCCCCCTCCAAAGGGGATCCCTTCCTCCGGCCCCTCAGCACCCACCCCCACCAGCGATCAGCAGGTTAGTTGTTCCTCTGCCTGCGAGGGTGTGGTGAGGATTTGGAAATACCTGCTCTGGGCAGGGAAGCTGAGGACCAGGTGTGAGAGGTCTGTGGCTGGGGGGCCCTTGGGTGCTGGAATCCTGAGATTGCAAGAGCCACCCCACCTAACCCACACTGCTGAACCCCAGCCCCAGGGGAGCCCCACCCTGGCCGCCCGGGGCTGGGTCAGAGGTGCCCTCAGGGGTCTAGGTTGCAGCCCCTGGACATCTGGATCCTACCCCTGGAGGCTCGGACCTCCTCCCCCGGGCCAGGAATGTGCTAACAGGGCAGGTTGGGCCCTCCTCGGCCCCCGCGGGAACCTGTGGACTTTGAGAGGGGACCGGGCCGGGCAGGGCGGACGGGCGGGGCGGGCTGGGGCGGGGCGGGCGCGCCAGGCGGGCGGAGCCAGGCCCGGGGACTAAGCCCGGCCGCGGCGGCCCCGCCACTGCTGCGCTGCGGGCTGCAGACTCGGCCGCACCATGAGGCCGCTCGTGCTGCTCTGGGCTCTGCTGCTGCTCACCACAGCCCCCGGCCCAGGTCCCCGGCCTGCAGCAGGTAGGCCCCCACCCCGCCTCCTGGCCCCGTGCAGCCGGCCCAGCGGGGAGCCCCTCTGCTCAGCCTCTGTCCATCCGCCAGGTCGTCCGGGACTGGACTGGGGTTGTGAGAAGAAAATCTGGGGAGCCCAGGGTCTGGGCCGCTGGCAGGATGGAGTCGGGGCTATGCCCACCCTAAACCCACTGGGAGCTGGGAGGTGCTGGCTGCTTGGGAGGGAGGTGGCCCGGGGCGGTGGGGGGTTCAGGGGAGCCCTTGGTCTGCGCCCCGAGCCCCCGTGGAGTCTGTGCTCATACATGGAGGAGCCTCAGGCCCACTAAGCTCCAGGCAACACTGGAGGGTCCTTGTTAGGGTAGGGCGGAACCCCGGAAGTTCTGGGGGAAGGCTCCCACTCCGGAGGCTCCTGCTGGGCCGAGCTGCCAGGGGCAGGCTCCCCAGCCCCCTGCCCCACCCCTATCTCCCATCTCGGGGAAGCGCCACCACCCTTCAGCCACTTATCTCACTTACTGGCATCACTCAGCCTCCTCCCCCACTCCCTTGAGCCATCACATCCTCTGTCAATAAATATTTATTGACGCTCTCGAGTGCCAGGCCCTGCAGTGGGTGAAATAGGGTCACCGGGGTGGCTCGGGTCCAGCCCCAGCCCTTCACTGGCCCCCTTTGGTGGGGCGGCTGGGAAGGCCAGGTGGGCTGTCTGCACCCCCTTGGTCCCCACCCTCCAACCTGCCCAGTCACACTCGATGCAGAGGGTTCCCTGACGATACGGCCCTGTCATGGGTCCCCATGGCAGTGAGAGCTGAGGCCTGATGTCCACAGCCCCACACCAGGCCGCCCTCTCCGCCACCACACCTTGCCCTGCCGGGTCCTCTGCTGGGGATGACCGTCCTCCTCCCCTTAGGAGGGGAGCACCTCTCACCCTCTCCCCTAAGGGTGTCGCCTGGCAAAGTGAGATAGGGCATGCCGAGCTGCCAGGCCTCCTAAGGGACTCTGGGGAGCCACGTCCCCAGGCCCCAGACTGTCCCTGTCCGGGCTAGGGGTTCAGACAGCCCCGCAGCCCACAGCGAGGGCTCAGCCACCTCTGGCCATCTGAGGATCCGGTCGTCCGGGTCTTGAGGGCTGAAGGTCAGCCCTGCCCCAGGGGCTCCTCTTGATGCTGTGGCAGTGGGCGGCCGCAGGCATCTGCCCTTACCTCCCCTCCTTCTCGCAAGCCCTTCAGGCAACGGCCAGGTCTTTCGTCCCGAGGTCCCTCACCCCACGGGCCTTGCGTGGGTTTCTACTGTGGTTGGCTTGGTCAGCGCCCTTCCTGGTCCACGTTCTCCCGGGGACGCTTCTCTCGTGGGCTCCGGGGAAATAAGCACAAGCCCCGTCCTTCAGGGCAGCCGGGCGCTCAGCACCGCCTCCTCCAGGTGCCAAGGGGAGCTGCTCCCACCGCTGTGGAGACCGGGATGGGTCGTGCTCCTGCCACCCCACCTGCTCTGGCCTGGGCACCTGCTGCTCGGACTTCCGGGACTTCTGCCTGGAAGTCTCGCCCTACTCGGGCTCCATGATGGGTGGCAAGGACTTCCAAGTACAGCACCTCACCTGGTTCATCCCCACTGACGGCGTGATCTGCAGGTGGGGATCTCCAGGGGCTCCGTGCGTGCTGGGGGCCCCAGGGAGGAGGTCGGGGCGCGGGCCTCTGAGGGGGTCCCCCGGCCCTGGCCTGGCCTTTCCTGCCACCTCCTGCCCCCGCAGGTTTAAGGAGAGCATCCAGACCCTCGGGTACGTGGACTCCTCTGGACACGTGCACTGCGTGTCACCCCTGCTGTATGAGACAGGCCACATCCCCTTCACGCTCTCGATGGACAACGGTCGCTCCTTTCCGCGCTCGGGGACCTGGCTGGCTGGTGAGCCCCACCTTCCTGGGCCTTGGCCCCCCACAGGCACTTGCCTAACACTAATCTCTGCCCGCCTCGCCTGCCAGCCATGCCCTACTGCTCTGGTTCAACCAGTCCCTCTAGTTCTCAAGCTCTGCTCCCCACCCCCTGGCATCCACACAGAGGAACTGGGGAGGGCCTTTTGGGATCCCCCAGCAAGGTGGGCCACTTGACTCAGCCAGGCCAGGGGAGGGCGGAGGCCAGAGACCTGGGCAGCAGAGGGCAGGGCCGCGCCTCTCCTGCAGGCTTCGTCCTTTCCCGACAGGAGGGCCTGGGAGAGAAGATCCTCTAGTGGGACTGCCCCGCTTGGTCCTCGGGAGGCACCCCTAGCTCGCAGAGCCCCTGGGCCTCAGGCCTTCACTCACCCCTCACCTCCTGCCCAGTGCACCCCAGCAAAGTGTCAGAGACGGAGAAGAGCCAGCTGGAGAACGAGACCCTCTGGCAATACTACGGCACCACCAGCACCACGGACAACCTCACCGTGACCTGGGAGCCCTCGGCTCTGCCCACGCGGTCTGTCACCATCGAGCTCTGGGGCTACGAGGAGACAGGTAAGGCCACCAAAGGCTGCACAGCCCGAGGAGCTCTGTGGGCCACTAGGGCCTGGGGCTTGCAGAGGTGGGAGAGAGGGGACTCCAGGTAGGGCCAAATCCCAGATGGGGATGTGGATGCAAGAAAGGGGAACTGGGGGACGCATGGGGGTGGGGGAGGCTGGTGACCCCCCCCCTCCCCCCCCCCCCCCGGCCACAAGGGCCCAGCTCTAGGAGGACATATGGGCCTTCTCTGCCCTTGGATATAAGGCTTGCCCTGGGAACCCATCCTCTCCAAGCCCCTCGGCTGCGAGCATGGCCCTCGGCCTGGCCTCCAGGTGGGGCTGTGACCCTAAACATGGGCGAGGAGGAAATGGCCTTCGCTTGAGCCAGGGCCCTTGCTGGAGCAACGGGGCAGGCCTTCCTCTGGGAACCATCCGTCTGTCCATCTCCCAGGCCACTCTGAGCACCCAAGACTGGCACCTGGCCCTTCTTTTGCCCTTCTTTTGTCCCCGGGCTCTTGGAGGGGCCCCGGGGCTGACGGAGGCCTTCTCTCCCTTAGGGAAGCCATATTCAGGGGAATGGACAGCAAAGTGGTCATACCTGTACTCCCTGGCCACAAACATCCCCAACTCTGGCTTCTTCACCTTCACTCCCAAACCTGCCCCTCCAAACTTCCAGCGATGGGAAGTGGGTGCGCTTCGGATCATCAGCAGCAGATACTATGCAGGGGAGAAGTAAGGGCCACGGGCACGCAGAGGGTGGGCCGGGGGCCTGTCCCGCCACTCGCCATCCTGGCCGGGGCTGCCGGGGCGCGGCCCTCAGTGTGCGGGGTCCCCACAGGGACGTGCAGGCACTCTGGAGCAATGAGCACGCGCTGGCCTGGCACCTGGGCGAGGACTTCCGGGCAGACCCCAAGGCCTGGGCCCGAGCCCAGTGCCTGGCCTGGGAGCAGCTGGAAGACCAACTGCCCAACTTCCTGGAGGAACTGCCTGACTGCCCCTGCACCCTGGCCCAGGCCCGCGCTGACTCTGGCCGCTTCCACGTGAGCCCCCCCCCCCCGCCCCGTCCCCACCGGGAGCCCCCTCCCCACTGGGCGGGCTGGCTGGGAGCCCCCCGAGGGCTGGGCGGAGGCGGCCACCCCCCCACACACACCCAGGAGGTGAGGGGCGGGGAGGCAGATAGAGGCCCCTGGGAGGCCAGGCTGGAGTCTGAGGGCCCTCAGGGTCGGTTCCCAGGGAGGGCAGGCCACAGCCTGAGGCCAGTGCGGGTGACAGCAACCTCCTGCTCCATAGACGGACTACGGCTGTGACATTGAGCGTGGCAGCGTGTGCACCTACCACCCCGGGGCCGTGCACTGTGTGCGCTCTGTGCAAGCCAGGTGAGCCAGGCGGCAGGTGGGGGGGCAGGGGGCCCGGGCTCCCCGACGGCGGCCTTGACCTGTCGCTGTCCCCAGCCCCCGGTTCGCCTCCGGCCAGCAGTGCTGCTACACGGAGGCCGGCAGCCTGCTCCTGACGGCCGACTCCACCGGCGGCAGCACCCCGGACCGCGGCCACGACTGGGGTGCGCCCCCCTTCCGCACACCACCCCGCGTGCCCGGCCTGTCCCACTGGCTCTATGACGTCGTCAGCTTCTACCACTGTTGCCTCTGGGCACCCGAGTGCTCCCGATACATGCGGCGGCGGCCCTCCAGCGACTGTCGCAGCTACCGGCCGTCGCGCCTCGGTGGGTGGCAGGCGAGGCTGGGCCCGGGCAGGGCCAGACCAGCGCGGCCCACCTGACCCTCCGCTCTCCCCAGCCTCCGCATTCGGGGACCCGCACTTCATCACCTTCGACGGTGCCAGCTTCTCGTTCAACGGGCACGGCGAGTACGTGCTGCTGGAGGCCGCGCTGACCAATCTGAGGGTGCAGGGGCGGGCGCAGCCCAGGACGACGCCGGAGGGTGAGGCTGGGGCCCGTGGGCCCTGGGGGCGTGGGGGGCTCTGGGTCCCCCATGAGGTGGGCTGGAGCCGAGCGCATCATTCTGCCCACGCCCCCCAGGCCCACAGGACCAAGGCACGGGGCTCACGGCCGTGGCCGTCCAGGAGGGCAACTCCGACGTGGTGGAGGTCCGGCTGGCCGGCGGGGCAGGGGTCCTGCAGGTGCTGCTGAACCAGGAGGTGCTCAGCTTCACGGAGCAGAGCTGGATGGACCTGAAGGGTGAGTGGGCGGCCGGCTTGCCACAGGGCCGCTCTTGCGCCCTCACTTCCCGCCTGGGCCTCGGAGCACGGGTGCAGAGGTGGGGGCCTCTCCATACGATCCACGTGCTGTCCCTGGCATTGTGCTGCCAGTCAGCCCCCCCCTGCCCCCTGCACGGTGGACACGTGCCCCCAGCCCACCTATGTGTGTGGGCAGACGAGGTGTGCGGCCCCAGGTAGGAAGGTCCAGCCTGGGGATGGGGACCTGGTCTGATCTTGTGCTTTCACACTATGGAGCCCCAGACCCGTGGTCAGAACCCTGAGATGCCCGGACAGTGGGACGAGAAGCTGGAAGCTGCTTTGAAGATGCTGGCTGGCCCTGCGGGCTACGGAGCAACCCCCTGTCCACCCCCTTCCCCTCTCTGGTGGTGCTGCCTCAGGGAACTGAGCTAATGAAGTGATTTTTTTGCAGTGGGGATGGGTGGGGACCTGGGACGGGCCTGCTGGTGTTGAGGGTGCAGGGATCCCCAGGAAGGGCAGAGCTGGGTGTGGCTGCTGCCTCCCTCAAGGAGCAAGGGCCGACAGGTGACCCCCAGGTGAGGCCTCGGTGTGGGGGTCCCTTTGGAGCCTGGGCACACATGTCCGTGTGGGGGTCCCAGTACAGAGGTGGGCGTGGGATGAGGGAGTGTAACAGCAGGGCCGGCTGTGAGGACACCGTCCCCTTCCCTGGATGCTGACCCACTTGTCCTGGGGCTGTGGAGTCACAGCACGGTGCCCTCGGTGGGCAGCCCTAACCCCAGTTCCATGTGTGCCCAGGTATGTTCCTGTCTGTTGCTGCCGGGGACAGCGTATCCATCATGCTGTCATCGGGGGCTGGCCTGGAGGTCAGCGTCCAGGGTCCCTTCCTGAGTGTGACTGTCCTCCTGCCTGAGAAGTTCCTCACCCACACGCAAGGCCTTCTTGGGACACTGAATGATGACCCCACGGACGACTTCGTGCTGCGCAATGGGAATGTCTTGCCCCCCAAGGCCAGCTCCCGAGAGCTGTTCCGCTTCGGGGCCGACTGTGAGTGACTGCGAGGCCCCCTGGGGCTGGGGGGATCCCGGCGGGGACAGAGGCAGTGGATGTGAGGGGAGGGACTCCGGACCCTCGGCCGCCAGCGAGACCTGCTGCGTGTCTCCCCAGGGGCCGTGGAGAACACCTCGTCCCTGCTCACCTACGACTCCTGGTTCCTGGTCAACAACTTCCTGTACCAGCCCAAGCATGACTACACCTTTCAGCCCCTGTTCCCCGAGGAGACCACCCCCAACCCCAGCCAGGCTGCCGAGGCGGCTAAGTTGTGTGGAGACAACTATTTCTGCATATTCGACGTGATGGCCACTGGGAGCCTGAGTGTGGGCAATGCCACGCGGATGGCCCACCACTGGCACCAGCATCGTGCGCAGAGCCTGCAGCCTGGTGAGGGGGGCTGGGGGCACAGGCGAGGTGGTGGACACCGTAGGCTGGGACGTGACCCCCTAAGTCGGCAGCTGCAGGGGAGGTGGGGACCGCCAGCTGCTTAATCCTATGGTCTGCTCCTGGTCCCCTACCCCAGTGACGTCCTGCGGCTGGCTGGCCCCGCCCCCCAATGGGCGCAAGGAGGGTACCAGATACCTGTCAGGCTCCACTGTCTACTTTCACTGCGACAGCGGCTACAGCCTGGTTGGGGCAGAGGTCAGCACCTGCCAGGCTGATGGCATCTGGTCCAGGCCCACCCCATTGTGCCAGCCAGGTGAGGATGCCCTGCGCCCCCACCCGCCTGCACCCCACCGCTGCCCTCGGGCGGCCCTCACCTTTCTGCTCCCTCTCCAGCTCGGAGCTACACGGTGCTGCTGAGCATCATCTTTGGAGGCCTGGCGGTGGTGGCTGTGGTCGCGCTTGTCTATGTGCTGCTGCGCCATAGGAAGGGCAACATGTAAGACCTCACCCACCAAGACCCAGGGTTCCAGGGGCAGGACCCCAGTCTGTGCCCCTCGTTGGCTCTCCTAAGATTCTAGGGTGCCCCCCACGTTTGCTCTAGATGGTGTCTCTGTTTGCAGGGCCATCTGGGGTTCACAGCCCTGAAGGGAGTGCATCTGGCCGGCAGCAAGAGGCATGGATGGCCACCCCAGAGCCAAGACCAACCTCCCAGGAGAATACCTCTGAGAGCGTGCACCCCAGTACTTCAATCCCCAAGTCACTAGCACTGTTTCTTGGGACCTGGACACCTGATACCTGAGCCTTCGATGCCCACACACCCTAGACCTGGTGCCTTGCTCTGTCTCCTCAGACCTGGACACCTGGCTCTAACCGTGCAGGCCCCGAGAGGCCCCTGGTGCTCTAGTCCCCAAATATTCTCGGCTCTAATTCCGCAGACTGCATACCCTTGAGTTCTAATGCCTGTCTCCAGAGACCCAACACTCTGGCACCTGAAACTCAAATGCTAGTACCTCAGATCCCGTGTCTGATGCCTGTGACCCTGATCCCTGATCTACTGATCCCTGGTGCCCCGACACGGGAGCCCTAGCACCCAGCTGCCTTGATTGCTGGACTTGGGCCAGCCTGAGGGGGAGAGGCCTCAGGACCCCAGAGTGGAGAGTCACTCTGAGCTCCAGGCTTGTAATTCTAACCCTTCTGGAATGTCACTTCTAACTCTTCTGGAATGTCACTTGAAACACCCCTCCCTGTCTACTCGGAGAAAACAAGCCCATGGTATCCCCTCCCTGGTGTACTGGTGCTCATGCCACACTTTGGTTCTGGAGGGTTCTATGGTTGCTTTGTGGGATCAACAGCACCCAAAGCAACCTTTGTCCACTGGCAGGCCACCTGGGGCCGGTCCCTCCACAGCCTGTCTCCCTCTAAAAAGTGTTCTCAAGAACCGTGAGCACTTTGTGGAGGTGAAGACAAAGGGCAGTGCCTGCAAAGCGTTCTGCATGGAGTCCGTGCTTGGTGCCCAGGAGATGGGATGGGCCAGCACAGGCACCTGCCCCTTCACTCTGCAGCAAGCTGGCCCGGCCTGCCCCCGGGCCCCTACCCTGCCCCAGCACTGCTCTGAAACCAGAGCCCATGTTCTGGGTCCCTGGGTTCCTCACCCAGAAGTGTCCAGAAGCTGGGTATGGGGCACAGGCTTCATGCCACTGCTGCCCCCTTTGCGGCAAGGGTGCTGATTGGAGGCCATGGGAGGGCCTTGGCAGCATAGGATAGGGCCAGGCTTGGAGAAAGCACAGTGGAGGGCGGGGTTGGAGGCTGGTGCCCCCTGGTCCAGGCCGGAGGCTCCACCTGAGGGGTAGGGGCTGGGGGAGTTTGCCCAAGGGATGTGGAACCTTGGGTGGGAGGTGAGGCATGGGAGTGGAGGCCCCGGTCACGGCGGCCTGCAGTGCCGAGAGCGGCCGCGGGGCGGCAGCAGAGGGCAGGGCCGTGGGCCCGGAGGCTGCGCCAGACCCTGGGAGCGGCCACTAGAGCTGGGCCCTGGCCTGTCACAACCTCGGCCAAGGTCCAAGCAGGCCCACTTCTGCATCTCCCTCCGGTAGGAGGGCCTTGAGTCATCCCCCAGTCTCGAGAGCACGGGCCATCCAGGCACTGACCACCAGAGGCAGAACCCAAGCCTCCCCCACCTCCTTAGACTGGCTGTTAGCTGAGGGTCCTAGACAGGGGTGGGAAAGCTGGGTGATAGGGGCAAGTGCAGTCTGGAGGGCTTCCTCGAGGAGACAGTTTTGCACGATGGGGCACATTCAAAGGAACAGAGATGAGAGTGAAGGGTTGGGGGTCTCCCTGGGTTGTACCCAAGAGGCTGAAGGAAGGGGATGGGGTTGGTGCTTGCACACCCCGCTGCTTCCACACCGGCTTCCAGCTCAGGACAGGGTGGTGCTGAGGGCTGGCCCCTTGGCCACTGGGCAGGTACTTTCCTCTGCAGATGAGGTAAGGCAGGGCTGGCTTCCCACCAACCTGCGTCCTCAGTGCTGGGCCAGGCACAAGCCAGTGGGTGACAGGTTGGTTTCCTCATCAAGCCCAGACCTGTAAGAGCAGGGGAAGCAGGGGCAGCTTCACAGCTCCCGGACCGTAACTGAAAGGATGGGCCAAGTTCTCAGAGATGTGATTGGAGAGCCTAGGTTCCAGTCAGGAACAGCCTGGGCAAAGGCTCAGAGGAAGAGAAGTATGGTCTGGTCTGAGAAATAGTGAGGCCCCTCCCCCACCAGGCAATGGCAGTTAGGCTTCATCCTAAGGGTAAAACGTGGTCTCTCTCAGGCTTCCCCAACCTACGCTTGTCCCTCCAGGTTGGGACCCAGAGCGGCCCCCTCCCCTCTCCAGCTAGAGAAGGGGTGCACTGTCTGTGGCCCTGACCCCAGACATCAGGCACTCCCGGTGCCAGGGACAGGCCAGGCTGGGAAGCCCCGACACCTGATGGGTTTTCCCAGGGGCCTGTAGGGAGTCAGGGGTACTGTGGGGCCCATGTGAGGCTGAAGGTCCCAGAGTCCTACATAGACTCCCTTTAGAGACCTCAAAAGCAGGGACCATGGCCTCAGGGAAGTGGTCTCCCCAAACCACAGTCCCAAGGCATTAGAACCCAATGGCCAGGCCCCTACCCTTTGTGCTGGTTGGAGTTTGAGGGACAGTAATCCAGGGACTTAGAAGTACAGGTGATGGGAGAATCAGGAAGTCAGAGCTGGTGAGGCTGCCATAGGACCCCAACAACACCCCTAAGCCAAGGGACAAAGAAAGGAGGGTGCCAGAGCCAGGCCCAGGCACTCCCAAAAGTGGGAACCCCACAGCAGGAACCGTGTAAGCCCACGGGCCCTGGCAGGAACTACAGGCCCAAGATGGGGGAAGTATCCGCTTCTCTTCCTGCCCTCCAGCCTCCCACTAGGGCCTCCCCTTAACTGGACACAGTGGGGAGCACAGGGCCAAGGGAGCAATACCGCACAGCAGGGAGCAGGGCTCCCCCTTGGCCAGGCTGGCTCCTGTGCAAGCCCTGGGGTGGCTGAGTGCCTGCCCTGGGCCACGTCTGTTCTCTGAGCGCACAGTCCAGGGGGTGCTCAGTGCAGCATGTCTCAGGAGTGGGAAATGAAGGGATGCTTCCTGGAGGAGTCCTGTTCCAGCTGAACTTCAAAGGACAAAAACCATTAGGGAAGTGAGGTTGAGCAGGTGGTGCCTGCAAGCAGCAGAGCAGCCCACAATACTGAACACCTCTTTGGGGTTGCCCGCTGGACTACATTTCCCAGAGCCCCTCGCATTGGGGTGGTCACGTGACTGAGTTCCTGCTCGTACAAGGCCGGAGACTGCCCCCACCCCCACCCCACCCCCTCCACCTGCATCCTTCCAAGCTCCCGTGGCTCCTTCGGTTGCAAGAGTGGCTCTGGACTCCGGGCCAACCTGAGTCCCCAGCATGGGGCAGGGAGCCCCCCCCCCGCCCTCCGTGACCTGTTCACCCATCCGGTACTGCTGTCGGAACAAGAAGCAAACTTCCCAGTAAACCGTAAAACAGCTTTGGGTCTGTTTGTTGCAGCCGCCGGTGTCTCTAACTATAACACCAGAGGCAGAGGTGCAAAAAGATGGCCTTACATTCTTACTGCTGAAAATAAAAATACGATGGCCACTAGGTCTTTAAGAACGCAAGAAGAGGGGATCCCTGGTGGCTCAGCGGTTTAGCACCTGCCTTCGGCCCAGGGTGTGATCCTGGAGTCCCAGGATCGAGTCCCACGTCGGGCTCCCGGTGCATGGAGCCTGCTTCTCCCTCTGCCTGTGTCTCTGCCTCTCTCTCTGTGTCTATGAATAAATAAAATCTTAAAAAAGAAAAAAAGACCTCAAGCAGATACAGCAGTGTTCATAGAAAGGTGGAAGCCTGCAAGCGTCCATGGGAGGCCGAGGGGTAAAGGAGCCGTGGTCCAGCCACCCACCCAGCGGGACCTATTCGCGCCGGAACGCGGGTGAACTTGGAGGCACCACGCTCAGTGAGGTAAGCCAGACACCAAAGGACGCTACTGTGTGATTCTCTCCTCCGAAGCTCCTAGAGTCATCAAATTCATAGACGGTAGAGCAGACGATGCCGGGGCCTGGATGGGGGGAGGGGCAGTGGAGTTCATGTTTAAGGGGCCAGAGTTTCTGGAAAGATGAAAACGGTCCCGCCGGAGAGGGGTGGCGCTGATGGTTGCTCAACACTGTGCGTGTGCGTATGCCACCGAGCTGGACACTTCAAATGGCTGAGATGGTAAGTATTACGTATTTATATATTTTACTCCAACACAAAAAAAAAAAAAAAAAAAAAACAGTTTACTTAACTAGTCCCCAGTCGGTGGGCATTAAGCTGAGCTCAAACATGGTCTTCGAAGGCTGTTGTCCTTTATAAATGAGCCCCGGTTTCCTCGCGGGAGAAATCCCCACCAGAGGACTGGCCGCGTGGACAGCAGTGCGCGCCCTCGGGGAACGGGGGGGGGGCAGACACTGGCCCCAACTTACTGGGAGAGCCACCCCCCCGCGCCCCTGCGCCCCTGACAGCCCGAGGAGCCTTGCCACATTTTGCTCTTGGACACATAGACAAAACATGTTGCTTGGCAGGGCTGAACATTCCCAGGATGCCCTTCCATCCATGAGTGTGTGTGTGTGTGTGTGTGTGTGTGTGTGTGTGTGTGTGTGTTCGTTCCTGGTTAGGATGGACCTGAGAGGGATTCCACGCCAGGGTGGGAGTGGGAAATGTGCCGGCGGCCCTGCTTGCAGCCCACGCTCACTGTGGCATGTCCGCTGACTCAGTTTGCCGGCACCAGCCGGGATGCCAAGGGTGCAACCGCTCCCCAGGCCCTCGGCCCACCTGCAGCTTCCCCACTCCTGGGCCAGGTGTCTGACAAAGGGGTCCAGCCTCTGCAGGAAGCCTTTGTCTCCCTTGGCAACAAGAGGGGACTTGAGGGGAGTGCCTGGGTGGCTCAATGGTTGAGTGTCTGCCTTTGGCTCGGTTCGTGGTCTTGGGGTCCTGGGATCCAGTCCTGCATCAGGCTCCCTGCAGGAGCCTGCTTCTCCCTCTGCCTGTGTCTCTGCCTCTGTATGTGTGTGTGTGTCTCTCATGATTAAATAAATAAAATCTAAAAAAAAAAAAAAAAGAAGGGTTTCAATCAATCCATGTGGGCTCCAGCCAGCCGGCTCTGGATCATCCCTTCCACTTAGCATCCACCTTCCCTCCAGACTCTCTGCCACATGGACCTCAAGCTCCGCCATCAGATGGAAGACAACAAACAGCCTTACAGCGATCTCTTGCCCAGCTCCCCAGCTGCGGGTTCTCTGATGAAACCCTGATTGATAGATAAAGGACACATTATATGCAAGAGAGTACAGAGCTCAGGGTCCAGCTCAATGAACTCATCCAAAGTGGACATGCCCAGTTGACTACTACTCATGTCAAGAGACTGAACAGTACCAACCCCCTCACCCCACCCCCACCATTCCATCCCTTCATCCCCTTCATCCCCGGGTTAGCCACTGATTCCTCACACTAGCTTTCTGTGGTTTTGTACTTTGAATAGATGGAATCATAGAGTAGATCCTCTTTGGGTCTGGCTTCTCTTGCATGTTTCTGAGATTCATCCATGTTGAAGCACGAGGCTGTCGACTTTTTCCCCGAGTATCATTCCATCAAAAGAATTTATCTGTTTTCCTGCTGAGGCACATTGGGTTGGTTTCTAGTTTGGAGCTATAATGGCCAGTGCTGTGAACATTCTTGTACGTGTCTTGACAC